ACACAAAGATACTGAAAGAAGGAGAAAACAGATAGGGTCAATCGAAATGGGTAAATGAATATCTGACAAATCGAAGTACATAAAGAAAGAATAGACAAAAGGAGAGAGAGCATTACTCACAAGAAGCAAAAATCACAAGGTAATTTCCCAAAGCTAGAGGAAATGAGTCTCTATATTGCAAGGGCCTATTTTCAATGAAAGATAAAATTGAAGGACCTAGTTTGAAGGATATATAGCCCAGTGAACAAAAAAACACCCATACGGGATGGGTGCAGTGGCTCCCACCTATAATCCCAGCACTTTGGGTGGCTGAGTCAGGAGGATCACTCGAGCCCAGGAGTTCAATACCAGCCTGGGTAACATGGCAAGACCCCATCTCTAAAAAAATAATTTTTTAAAAATTGAAAAATTTTAATTAAAAACTTTAATTAATTTATGTTATTTACTTGTGATCCCAGCTACTTAGGAGGCTGAGGTGAGAAGATTTCCTGGGCAGGGAGATCAAGGCTGCAGTGACCCATGATTGCATCACTGCACTCCAGCCTGGATGACATCAAGACCCTGTCCCCCCACCCCCCAAAAAAATAGGCTGGCCAAGGTTATTTCAGAGCAGCCACGATAAAAAGACCCTAACCCTTTCAAAAAGAAGAAAAAGATCACAAACAGATGACAAGAAATCAAATCAACATTGCACTTGTCAGTAAAACACTGAAACTACTAGACAGTGGAATAAAATATTCAAAAATCTGAGGGTGACCAAGCATAGTGACTCACACCTGTAATCCTAGTATTTTGGGAGGCTGAGATGAGAAGATCACTTGAGCCCAGAAGTTCAAGATGAGCCAAGGCAACTTAGCTAGACCCCATCTCTACAAAATAAAAATTAGCTGGGTGTGGTGGCACACACCTGCAGTCCCAGCTACTTCAGAGGCTGAGATGGGAGAATCTTTTGATCCCAGGAGTTCGAGGATGCAGTGAGCTTTGATTGTGCTTCTGCACTCTAGCCTAGGCAACAGAGCAAGACTGTGTCTCAAAAAAAGAGGAAAATCTGAGGGAGAATGGTGTTAAACTAGGAATTCTATACCCAACTAAACTATTAATCCAATATGAGAGTAAAATAAAGACACTTCCAGACATCTGTAAAACTTTACTTGCCAAATATGCTTTCTTGGGAAATACTGAAGAAAATAAAACAAGAGAGTAAATCAAGAAAAAAGGAAGGAAATGGGAGCCAGAAAGTAAAGGACTCAACACAGGACAGAGTCAAAGGGAATTTCCCCAATGAAGGTCAAGGCAAGTGAATCTTAGCACAACAGCCTTGCAAAAGGCCAGAAGGCTCCAGATCTGCTGTGAAGCAGGAAGTCCCAGGGCACCAAGGGAGCTAGAAACTTGAGAGATTTTCAGATGGAGAGGAACTGGGTTCAGAGGAATTTGAAGTTCTGACAGACAGTTTGCGAAAAAAGTTGAAAAAGCTTGTCTGCAGGGCATAGGCATGAGATGGGAGGAGAGTAAAAACGAAGCAGGAGGCCGTTGTTTTCCACTATACGTTTAAACAACAATATGTCATAAAATTATGTACTGGAAAAAATATAGAATTTTTTTGAGACACGTCTCACTCTGTGACCCAGGCTGGTGTACAGTGGCATGATCACAACTCACCACAGCCTCAAACTCCCAGGCTGAAAGAATCCTCCCACTTCAGCCTCCTGAGTAGCTGGGACTTATAGGCATGTGCCACCACACCTGGCCAATATTTGTACTTTTTTGTAGAGTCAGGGTTTCACCATGTTGCCCAGGCTGATCTCAAACTCCTGAGCTCAAGTGGTCCCCTCGCTTAGTTGTCCCAAAGTGCTGGGATTACAGGCATGAGCCACCGTACTCAGCCAAGAAATGTAAAAAAAAATTTTTTTCATACTCTCAGATCAGCCCCTTGCATGTTTCTTTTCTTTTTTTTTTTTAATTGCATTTTAGGTTTCAGGGTACATGTGAAGGATATGCAAGATTGTTGCATAGGTACACACATGGCAGTGTGATTTGCTGCCTTCCTTCCCATCACCTATATCTGGCATTTCCCCCCATGCTCTCTCTCCCGAACTCCCCACCCACTGCTGTCCCTCCCTATTTCCCCCTGACAGACCCCAGTGTATGATGCTCCCCTCCCTGTGTCCATGTGTTCTCATTGTTCAACACCCACCTATGAGTGAGAACATGTGGCGTTTGATTTTCTGTTCTTGTCAGTTTGCTGAGAAAGATGGTTTCCAGGTTCATCCATGTCCCTACAAAGGACATGAACTCATCGTTTTTTATGGCTGCATAGTATTCCATGGTGTATATATGCCACATTTCCCCTGTCCAGTCTATCATCGATGGGCATTTGGGTTGGTTCCAGGTCTTTCCTATTGTAAACAGGGCTGCAATGAACATTCGTGTGCATGTGTCCTTATAGTAGAATGATTTATTGATGGGTCAAATGGAATTTCTATTTCTAGGTCCTTGAGGAATCCCCACACTGTCTTCCACAATGGTTGAACTAATTTATACTCCCACCAACAGTGTAAAAGTGTTCCTATTTCTCCACATCCTCTCCAGCATCTGTTGTCTCCAGATTTTTTTAACGATCGCCATTCTAACCAGCATCAGATGGTATCTCAATGTAGTTTTGATTTGCATTTCTCTAATGACCAGCGATGATGACCATTTTTTCATATGTTTGTTGGCCTCATGTATGTCTTCTTTTGTAAAGTATCTGTTCATATCCTTCACCCACTTTTGAATGGGCTTGTTTTTTTCTTGTAAATCTGTTTTAGTTCTTTGTAGATTCTGGTTATCAGCCCTTTGTCAGATGGGTAGACTGCAAAAATTTTTTCCGATTCTGTTGGTTGCTGATTCACTCTAATGACTGTTTCTTTTGCTGTGCAGAAGCTGTGGAGTTTGATTAGGTCCCATTTGTCTATTTTGGCTTTTGTTGCCAATGCTTTTGGTGTTTTGGTCACAAAGTCCTTGCCTATGCCTGTCCTGAATGCTTTTGCCTAGGTTTTCTTCTAGGGTTTTTATTGTGTTAGGTCTTATGTTTAAGCTTTAATCCATCCAGAGTTAATTTTAGTGTAAGGTGTCAGGAAGGGGTCCAGTTTCTGCTTTCTGCACATGGCTAGCCGGTTTTCCCAACACCATTTATTAAACAGGGATTCCTTTCTCCATTGCTCGTTTTTGTCAGGTTTGTCAAAGATCAGAGGTTGTAGCTGTGTTGTGTTGCCGCCGAGGCCTCTGCTCTGTTCCATTGGTATATATCTCTGTTTTGTACCAGTACCATGCTGTTTTGATTACTGTAGCCTTGTAGTATAGTTTGAAGTCCAGTAGTGTGATGCCTCTACTTTGTTCCTTTTGCTTAGAATTGACTTGGCTATGTGGGCTTTCTTTTGGTTCCATATGAAGTTTAAGGTGTTTTTTTCCAGTTCTGTGAAAAAGGTCATCAGTAGCTTGATGGGGATAGCAGTGAATCTGTAAATTACTTTGGGCAGTATGGCCATTTTCACAATATTGATTCTTCCTAACTATGAACATGGAATGTTTCTCCATCTGTTTGCGTCCTCTCTTATTTCATTGAGCAGTGGTTTGTAGTTCTACTTGAAGAGGTCCTTTATGTTCCTTGTTAGTTGTATTCCTAGGTATTTTATTCTCTTTGTAGCAACTGTGAAGGCAATTCGTTCTTGATTTGGCTCTCTTTAAGTCTCTTATTGGTGTATAGGAATGCTTGTGATTTTTGCACATTGATTTTGTATCCTGAGACTTTGCTGAAGTCACTTATCAGTTTCAGGAGATTTTGGGCTGAGACAATGGGGTCTTCTAGATATACAATCATGTCGTCTGCAAATAGAGAAAATTTGACTTCTTCCTTTCCTATCTGAATACACTTTATTTCTTTTTCTTGCCTGATTGCTCTGGCTAGAACTTCCAATACTATATTGAATAGGAGTGGTGAGAGAGGGCATCCTTGTCTAGTGCCAGATTTCAAAGGGAATGCTTCCAGTTTTTGCCCATTCAGCATGATATTGGCTGTGGGTTTGTCGTAAATAGCTTTTATTATTTTGAGATACGTTCCATCAATACCTAGTTTATTGAAGGTTTTTAGCATAAAGTGCTGTTGAATTTTGTCAAAGGCCTTCTCTGCATCAATTGAGATAAACATGTGGTTTTTGTCTTTGGTTCTGTTTATGTGGTGAATTACATTTATAGACTTGTGTATGTTGAACCAGCCTTGCATCCCCGGGATGAAGCCTACTTGATCATGGTGGATAAGCTTTTTGATGTGCTGTTGCAATTGTTTTGCCGGTATTTTATTGAAGATTTTTGCATCTATGTTCATCATGGATATTGGCCTGAAGTTTTCTTTTCTTGCTGAGTCTCTGCCAGGTTTTGGTATCAGGATGATGTTAGTCTCATAAAATGATTTGGGAAGGATTCCCTCTTTTTGAATTGTTTGGAATAGTTTCAGAAGGAATGGTACCAGCTCCTCTTTGTATGTCTGGTAGAATTCGGCTGTGAACCCATCTGGACCTGGGCTTTTTGTGGATGGTAGGCTATTAATTACTGCCTCAACTTCAGACCTTGTTATTGGTCTATTCAGGATTTCGAATTCTTCCTGGTTTAGGCTTGAGAGGATGCAAGTGTCCAGGAATTTATACATTTCTTCCAGGTTTACTAGTTTATGTGCATAGAATTGTTTGTAATAATCTCTGATTATGATTTGTATTTCTGTGGAATCTGTGGTGATATCCCCTTTATTGTTTTTTATTGCATCTATTTGATTATTCTCTCTTTTCTTTTTTATTAATCTTCCTAGTGGTCTATTTTGTTGATCTTTTTGAAAAACCAGCTCCTGGATTTATTGATTTTTTGAAGGGTCTTTTGTGTCTCTATCTCCTTCGGTTCTGCTTTGATCTTAGTTATTTCTTGTCTTCTGCTAGGTTTTGAGTTTTTTTTTCATCTTGCTCCTCTAGCTCTTTCAATTTTGATGATAGGATGTTGATTTTAGATCTCTCCTTGCTTCTCATGTGGGCATTTATTACTATATATTTTCCCCTACAGACTGCTTTAAACATGTCCCAGAGATTCTGGTATGTTGTGTCTTTGTTCTCGTTTGTTTCGAAGAACATCTTTATTTCTGCCTTCATTTCATTGTTTATCCAGTCAACATTCCAGAGCCAGTTGTTCAGTTTCCATGAAGCTATGTGATTCTTAGTTTATGAATTCTGAGTTCTAGCTTGATTGCACTGTGGTCTGAGAGACTGTTTGTTATGATTTCTGTTCTTTTGCATTTGCTGAGGAGTGATTTACTTCCAATTATTTGGTCAATATTAGAGTAGGTTAACATTCTGTGGATTTGGGATGGAGGGTTCTGTAAATGTCTGTCAGGTTTGCTTGGTCCAGGTCTGAGTTCAAGTCCTGGATATTCTTGTTAGTTTTCTGTCTCATTGATCTGTCTAATATTGACAATGGGGTGTTAAAGTCTCCCACTATTATTGTGTGAGAGTCTAAGTCTCTTTGTAAGTCATTAAGAACTTGCCTTATGTATCTGGGTTCTCCTATATTGGGCGCATATATACTTAGGATCGTTAGCTCTTCTTGTTGCATTGATCATTTTACCGTTATGTAATGTCCTTCTTTATCTCTTTTGATCTTTGTTGGTTTAAAGTCTATTTTATCAGAGATGAGAATTGCAACTCCTGCTTTTTTTGCTCTCCATTTGCTTGGTAAATCTTCCTCCATCCCTTTATTTTGAGCCTTTGTGTATCCTTGCATGTGAGATGGGTTTCCTGGATACAGCATACCGATGGGGTTTGGCTTTTTATCCAGTTTGCCAGTCTGTGTCTTTTGATTGGGGCATTTAGCCCATTTACATTTAGGGTTAATATTGTTATGTGTGAATTTGATCCTGCTATTTTGATGCTAGCTGGCTGTTTTGCCCTTTAGTTGATGCAGTTTCTTCATTGTGTTGATGCTCTTTACCATTTCATATATGTTTGGAGTGGCTAGTACTGGTTGTTCCTTTCTATGTTTAGTGCTTCTTTCAGGAGCTCTTGTAAAGCAGGCCTAGTGGTGATGAAATCTCTGAGTACTTGCTTGTTTGCAAAGGATTTTATTTTTCCTTCACTTATGAAGCTTAGTTTGGCTGGATATGAAATTCTGCATTGAAAGTTCTTTTCTTTAAGGATGTTGAATATTGGCCCCCACTCTCTTCTGGTTTGTAGGGTTTCTGCTGAGAGATCTGCTGTGAGTCTGATGGGCTTCCCTTTGTGGGTAACCTGACCTTTCTCTCTGGCTGCCCTTAGCATTTTCTCCTTCATTTTAACCCTGTGAATCTGACGATTATGTGCCTTGGGGTTGCTCTTCTTGACGAATATCTTTGTGGTGTTCTCTGTATTTCCTGGACTTGAATATTGTCCTGCCTTGCTAGGTTGGGGAAGTTTTCCTGGATAAAATCCTGAGGAGTATTTTCCAGCTTGGATTCATTCTCTCCATCACATTCAAGTACACCTACCAAACGTAGATTAGGTCTTTTCACATAGTCCCATAGTTCTTGGAGACTTTGTTCATTCCTTTTTACCCTTTTTTCTCTAATCTTTCATTCTCATTTTATTTCATTGAGTTGATCTTCAACCTCTGATATCCTTTCTTCTGCTTGGTCAATTCCGCTGTTGAAACTTGTGTATGCTTCATGATGTACCTGTGTTGTGTTTTTCAGCTCCATCAATTCACTTATATTCCTCTCTAAGTTGTTTATTCTTGTTAGCATTTCATCAAATCTTTTTTCAAAGCTCTTAGTTTCTTTGCATTTGGTTAGGACATGTTCTTTTAGCTCACAGAAGTTTCTTATTACCCACCTTCTGAAGCCTGAGTCTGTCAATTCATCACATTCATTCTCCATCCAGCCTTGTTCCCTTGCTGGTGAGGAGTTGTGATCCCTTGTAGGAGGAGAGGCGTTCTGGTTTCTGGTGTTTTCGTCCTTTTTGCACTGGTTTCTTCTCATCTTTGTAGATTTACCCACCTGTCGTCTTTGCAGTTGTTGACTTTCAGATTGGATCTCTGAGTGGACATCCAGTTTGTTGATGATGAAGTTATTTCTTTTTGTTTCTTAGTTTTCCTTTTAACAGTTTGGCCCTTCTGCTATAGGACTGCTGAGGTCCTCTCCAGGCCCTGCTTGCCTGGGAATCACCTGCAGCACCTGCAGAACAGTAAGGGTTGCTGCCAGTTTCTTCTTCTGCTATCTTTGTCCCAGAAGGATACCTGCCAGATGTCAGTCTGATCTCTCCTTTATGAGGTGACTCTTTGGATATACAGGGGTCAGGGAGCTGCTTGAGGAGACAGTCTGTCCTTTATAGGAGCTCAAGTGCTGAGCTGTGAGCTCTATTGTCCATTCAGAGCTGCTGGGCATGTACATTTAACACTGCTGCAGCAGAGTTCATAATCCCCTTTTCTAATTTTTTTTTCTCCCACATGCTCTGTCTTTCCTGGGAATTAGGGCTTTATTTATGAGTTTCTGTTGTGCTGCTGTCTTTTTTCAGGGCTGCCCTGCCCAGCAAGGAGGCACCCTAGTCACTGTCTGCCTGCAGAGGCTTTGCTGAGCTGCTGTGGGCTCTGCCCAGGTGCCGTGTGAACTTTTCTGCAGTCCTGTTTATACGGGTGTAGTTAGAACTGCCTTGGCAATGGCAGCCCATCTCTATAATGGTCGACTCTCTCTGTAATGGTGGGCTGCCTTGGCAACAGCGGGCTGCCTCGGCAACAGCAAACTACCTCCACAGTGGTGGACTGCCTCAGTAATGGTGGATGCCCCTCCCCCACAGAGCTGGACTGTCCCAGGTTCAGCTGTGCTTGCTGTGAAACTCTCAATCCAGAGTGTTTCTGATTGCTGTTCTTTTTTTGGGGGTGGTACCAGCCCAGCCTGATCACCTGGCTCCCTGCCTCAGAGCCTTTTTTTCGTTTTTTTTTTTTGTTGTTGAACGGTTGACTGTGTCTACCAGGTGTTCCAGTCACCTGTTGAAAAGGTGCCGGGATCTGTGTGATTTCCTGTGCAGTGACCCACTGCGCCTGCACTGGCTGAAACAGCCACACTGAGATTTGTGGTGCTTTTTTGCCCAGGAATCTCCTGGCCTGGCTCCCTGTTTCAATCCCCTTTTTAATCAGTTGAATGGGCGCCTCTGTCTGCCAGGAGCTCCAATTGCCAGCTATAATGGCACCCGGACCTGTGTATTTTGTATGGAGAACCACTGGCAAAACAGCTGTGCTGGTGAAAACAGCCACGCCAGCCAAACAGCTGTGCCAGCCAAACCAGCTGTGCTGGCGACCCATGGAGCTCCTCTGCCTGGGAATCTCCTAGTCTGTGGGCAATAAAAATCCATCTGGAAATGCAGCATCCGCTCATCCTCCACGCTTTCACTGGGAGCTGCAATCCTGAGCTGCTCCTAATCAGCCATCTTGGATCCCTCCAGAAATGTAAAATTTTTAAGGAATTTTAAAGCGTGAGCAGGAGCTTTAGAAATGGATAGTATAAGTTTAGGGAAAAAATAATGTTTAGAGGTAGGAATGTTTAATTTTGTGTCGGAGGACCACGGCCTATAATTTCCTTACTTTACACCTAAGAAGACAGATGGCCAACATTGAATTTTCTATTTCAGTTACTGGTGGCATGGGAAAATGAGTCACCAAAAGTCACAGATTCCTCCTCATTGCTTAATAACTACAATTAATATTTGGGTTTCTGGTGGCATCAGCTCTGATTTCTCAGTTTGGCACACCCTTAAACTCCTGTCCTAAGGGATTGGGCATTATTTTAGATGCTTGGGAATGAGCAAAAATATCACAATTTGAGTGTGTGAGATCTCAACCCCCAAAATTCATATGTTGAAACCTAATCCCCAGTGAGATGGTATTAGAAGGTGGGGCCTTTCAGAGGAAATTTGATCTTAAAAGCAGAGCCCTTGGGAATGGGATTAGTGCCCTTTTATTTATTTATTTATTTATTTATTTATTATTTTATTTTTATTTGAGATGGAGTCTTGCTCTGTCACCTGGGCTGGAGTGCAGTGGCACAATCTCAGCTCCCTGCAACATCTGTCTCCTGGGTTCAAGCGATTCTTGGGCCTCCACGTCCAAGTAGCTGGGATTACAGGTACATGCCACCACACTTGGCTTATTTTTGTATTTTAGGTAGAGGTGAGCTTTCACCATGTTGGCCAGGCTGGTCTCAAACTCCCGACCTCAAATGATCACCCTACTTGGCCTCCCAAAGTGCTGATATTACAGGCGTGAGCCACTGCACCTGTCCTTGGTGCCCTTTTAAAAGATGCCTTGGAGAGATCCCTCACCCCTTCCACACTGTGAGGACAGAGGGAGAAGATGGCCATCTATGAATCAGGAAGCAGGCCCTCAGCAAATATGGACTCTGCTGGCACCTTGACTATTGGCTTTCTAGCCTCCAGAACTGTAAGAAATAAATATCAGTTGTTTATTAGCTTCCTGGACTAAGCTATGTTGTTGTAGTAGTCTGAACAGACTAAAATGCCAGGCATTCATTCATTGTAGCAGGTTGGGCTTCACATTTTGTTGTCAGACATATTTTGCAAGCCTGTAGGGACAATGATTGACTTTTAGAGTTTTGTCTCATGGGAATGCAAACTAGTTTCTGTCCAGTGAAATAGATAATCCCACGGGTTATAGTTTATGGCCTTGTTGGACATTAATCAGTTCTACGCCTAAACCAGCAATGTATAAATTTGCCAATTATATACCTAGTTTCTCAAAAGCTTATAATACCTTATTAATTGCCACATTTTACTTGTGTCCTTATAATTAATGAGTTAAACTAAATATTTGATATATTTTCAGTTTATATTTACATAAGAGTCATGATTTTACCTTCCTTTTTTTTTTTTTTTTTTTTGAGACAGAGTTTCACCCTTGTTGCCCAGGCTGGAGTGCAATGGTGTGATCTTGGCTCACTGCGATCTCCGTCTCCCAGGTTCAAGTGATTCTGCTGCCTCAGCCTCCCAAGTAGCTGGCATTACAGGCACGTGCCACCATGCCCAGCTAATTTTGTATTTTTTTACTAGAGACAGGGTTTCTTCATGTTAGTCAGGCTGGTCTCAAACTCCTGACCTCAGCTGATCAGCCCACCTTGGCCTCCCAAAGTGCTGGGATTACAGGCATGAGCCATCGCACCCAGCCAACCTTTCTGAAAATTATACCTTAACAATGACTAAGATTAAATCGATATAAACATTTTAAAAATTCTAATTATTGGAACCAGCCTTTCAATCCCACAATTACAAATGTAAGGCCAGTTGCCTCGCAGGGAGGCTGGACACACCCACCTCTGCACTCAGCACCTGACTCTGCACCCGGCACCAGGCTCTGCACTTGGCACCTAGCTCTGCGGCATGGCTCCCTTGGAAGGCTCCGGCTAATGCAACCCTGGCCAGCTCTCGCACTGGAAAACCCGCCCAACAACCCGTCAACTAATAGCAGCCTGCCCCGTCTCAATCCTGCTCCCCTGGACCCAATCAGGGCGTCCTGCTGTTGCTCGTTCCTCCTAGCCATAAAACCAACCCCCGCCCCAGGAAGTCAGCGTGACTTCCCTGGCCCCCTTTCCCCGGACCATAGAACCTCGCCTGGAAGCTGAATAAATTGGCATTTAATTTTCTTATACTGGCCTCAGTTTCCTCATTTTAAACTCGGCAATAACCCTTACAATAACAATTGACATTTTTTTTCTAACCAAAGAAACTAAGTAGAAGAAATACTGGGTTTTAACTTCTTTCCTGTTCTGGTTGGAGATGCTAATTATGTTACCAGAAACAGCCCCAATCCAGGCCCCAAGAGACAGTTCTTGGATTGTGCACAAGAAAGAATTCAAGGCGAATCCATAAAGTGAAAGCAAGTTTATTAGGGAAGTAAAGAAACAAAAGAATGGCTACTCCCTGGGCAGAGCAGCAGCATGGGCTGCTCGACTGAGTATGCTTATAGTTATTTCTTCATTATATGCTAAATAAGGGTTGGATTATTCATGAGTTTTTCAGCAAAAAGGTGGACAATTCTCAGAACTGTGGGTCCCTCCCCTTTTTGGATCATATACAATAGCTTCCTGATGTTGTCATGACGTCTGTAAACTGCCATGGTCTGGTGAGAGTGTCTTTTAGCATGCTAATGCATTATAATTAGCATATAATGAGCAGTGAGGACAATCAGAGGTCGCTTTCGTCACCATCTTGGTTTTGGCCAACTTCTTTACCAAAACCTATTTTATCAGCAAGGTCTTTGTGACATGTATCTTGTGCCAACCTCCTATCTCATCCTTTAAGAATGCCTAACCCTCCTGGGAATGCAGCCCGTTAGATCTCAGCCTTACTTTACTCAGCCCCTATTCAAAATGAAGTCACTCTGGTTCAAATGCCTCCGACAATTAGACTCAATCAGTCAACAACAACAACAAAAAGCTTTCCTGGGAGAGCTGTATAGACACCTGAGGTGGGCTCAGTCTTTACAGACTTTACAAAACAAATGAGAAAAAGGAAAGACACACTGTTAAAATGAGTGAGTCCTGGAGGCAGTGATTTCTGTAAGATTCTGGAGGAAGACAAGACCACCTTCCAGACGGGTGGTGTAAGTGTAATAGGTTTGTTGCCCAATGCACACAGCAAGTCAAAATGCTGAGATACCAGATTGCAGCAGAGAAAGAGGTTTGATCTCAGGGTCACCAAATGAGGAGATAGGAGGGAACCTCAAATTTATCTCCCCGAGGAGTTTGGGGCTAGAGTTTTTAAGGGTTTTGGAATGGCCCAAAGTGTGGAGATTGTTGATTGGTTGAATAGCGCTTGGTGAAGTCATGAGACCGAGAGAGGAAGAAGCTGTATTCTCAGGCTGATCCTGCTCCTCTACAGGGCGGGGGGAAGGGAGGGTGTGGTCTTCAAACTGATTGCTGAGATTTGGTGTCTGAAAAACATTCTAAGCGATCATTAATCGAAAGCCTTATGATTCTGCCTAGGCTAAGTGGCTCATGTCTATAGTCTCAGCACTTTAGGAGGCTGAGGTGGGAGGATTGCTTGAGGCCAGGAGTTCCAGACCAGCCTGTTCAACATAGCGAAACCCCATCTCTACAAAAAATTAAAAATTAGCCAGGTGTGGTCATGCACACCTGTAGTCCCAGCTGCTCAGGAGGCTGAGGTGGGAGGATAGCTTGAGCCTGGGAGGTCAAGGCTACAGCAAGCTATGATTGTGCCATTACACTCCAGCGTGGGCAACAGAACAAGACCCTGTCTCAAAAGAAAAAAGCCTATGATTCTAATGTTGGAGATCCTATCTACAGGAACAATAGAAATGCAAATCAATTCTGTTTTATTTATTTATTTAAAGACAGGCTCTCACTCTGTAGCCTGGGCTGGAGTGCAATGTGGTGCAATTTTGACTCACTGCAACCTTGACCTCCGGCTCACACGATCTTCCTACCTCAGCCTCCAGAGTAGCTGGGACCACAGATGTGCACCACTCACCCCCTGCTAAGTTTTTGTATATTTTGTAAAGAGGGGGTTTTCCTACGTTGCTCAGGCTGGTCTCAAATTCCTTGGGCTCAAGCTATCTGCATGGTTCAGCCTCCTAAAGTGCTAGGATTATAGGTATGAGCCTTTGTGCCTGGCTGCAAATCAATTTCAAAACAGCCTTGTAGCTCTAATGTCAGAAATCCTACCTATAGGAACAATGGAGATGCAAATTACCAGGACATGTTGGCTCACATGGTAATCCCAACTACAATGAAAACGCAGATAGGTCAGAATCTAGTGTTGGGTAACTTTCAGCAACAAGGAAGTGGGAAGAAACCAGAACGCAATTCTCATCAACCCTGTGGGGATGGTTTCAGTGGGAAAGGAGTCCTCCCCAAGCTGGGGTGTCAATGGTGGGACAAGGAAAGAGGAAGTTACGGAATGAACAACACCAAAGAGGCCTGGCTGAGAAAGGCCCACTGGAGGGGGAGTGCTTGAGAACAGGAATAAGAAGACTGCACACTATCACATCCATTTGATGATTAGCAATATATTACTTCATCTCATTCATTCATTGTCTTCTCATGTTTTAAAATTAGATCACTCAATTCTTTTGTATTACTGTAATCTTACTAGGGAAAAACCAAAACATGTTCACATGATGTGTTATTCTACCATAGCAAAATATCACAGACTGGGTGGTTTAAACAACAGATACGTATTTTCTCGTTATTCTGGAGGCTGGGAGTAGAGAATCAAGGTAGCCACAGCTTTGGTTTCTGGTAAGGCCTCTCCCTTTGGCTTGCAGATGGCTGCACTCTCACAGTATCTTCACTTGGGCATCATTTGTCTCTGTCTTTTCTTATAAGGACACCAGTCCTATTGGATCAAGGCCTGTCCATATTTAACCTTAATCACCTCCTCAAAGGTTCTATCTCCAAATATTTGGAATAGTACTGGAGATTAAGACTTAAATGAATTTGGTGGCCAGGAATGATGGTTCACACCTGTAATCCTAGCACTTTAGGAGGCTGAGGCAGGTGGATTGTTGAAGCTCAGGAGTTCAAGACCAACCTGGGCAACATAGTGAGACCCCCATCTCTACAAAATAAAAAAAAATAGCTGGGCATGGTGGTGCCACTTATAGTCCCCCCTACTCAGAGAAGGCTGAGGCAGGAGAATCATTTGAACCCAGAAGGTAGAGGCTGCAGTGAGCTGAGATCACGCCACTGCACTCCAGCCTGGGTGACAGAGTGGGACCTGTCTCAAAACAAAACAGGAAATCAAAAAAGATATTAATGTGGGGCAGTGGGTGAGGTTGGAGAGAGGGCAGCACAATTCTGTTCATAACACATGGTAAAAATTCAAAGAGTACACAATGATGCACATTGACAAATCTGTCTCCCACCTACTGCTCCTCCAGTCCCACCTCCTCAAACACACTTTATCATCTACATTCTACATGTCTCTGAATGTAAGTGCTTGGAGACTGAGATTAGGTGGTATAATTGTTGAAAAAAAAAAAAAAAAAAAAAGCAGTGTGTCTTGCTCAGGCCTGCAGAGGGAAGTGAGCCCTGAGCCTTACAGACCAATATTCCCCTTGACCTCGGCCATCCTCAGAACAGAATGGGGGAGCAGTAAGAGGAGGGCCTACTGTTTGCTGAGAACACACTTCCTGAGTACAGCTCTAGGCAGAGGAGAAAAATGGGAAGGAACCATCATCATGCATAATTCATCACTTTTTAAAGAGGAAAAGACCAGAGAAGAAAAACTAACAAATTAAGTGGCCTGGAGACTTTCCAAAGTCTTTTAACTTAGTGGACAAAATAATATGTTGGATACTGTATTTACATTTTGAAAATACTTTTGGCTGGGTGAGGTGGTTCATGCCTATAATTCCAGCAGTTTGGAATTAGGCAGGCAGAGGGCAGGAGGCCAAGGCAGGCGGATCACAAGGTCAGGAGTTCAAGACTAGCCTGGCCGACATGGCGAAACCCCATCTCTAATAAAAATACAAAAATTAGCCAGGCTTGGTGGCACATGCCTGTAATCCCAGCTACATAGGAGGTTGAAGCAGGGAGTCACTTGAACTCGGGAGGTAGAGGTTGCACTGAGCCAAGATCATGCCACTGCACTCCAGCCTGGGTGACAGAGCCAGACTCTCTCTAAAAAATTAAAAATAAAATTTAAAAGATGAAGTGAGATGCGAACCTTTTACATCTGGCTCTACTCTATTCTGAGTTTCTTAATGTACTAGTGCCAGNAAGAAAAAAAAAAGAAAGAAAAGAAAAAAAATACTTTTAATTTTATGTTTGCATACATTTTTTTGAAGATTTTTTAAAAAATAGCTTTACTAAGAGACAACTCACAATCATAAAATTCACCCTTTTAAACTCTGCAACCCAGTGCTTTTTAAGACGAAAAAGGTTGTACAACATTACCCCTATCTAATTCCAGAACATTTTCATCAAATATTCTAAAAGAAACTCTATCCATGCATAGTCACTGCTATTCTCCCTTGGCCCCAGGTTCTCACAACCTCCATTCTGCTTTCTATAGATTTGTCCATCTTGGACCTTTCATATAAATGGAATCATACAATATGTTGCCTTTTCTGTCTGTCTTCTTTCTCTTAGTTTAATGTTTTCAAGATTTTTCCATGTTGTATCGTGTAGTACTCTATTCCTTTTTGTGGCTGCATAATATTCCATTGTATGCATAAGCCATATTTTGTTTGTCTATTCATCAGTGGCTGGACATTTGGATGGTGTAGTAGGCCATTCTTGCATTGCTATGATACCTGACGCTACGTAATTTATAAAGAGAAGAGGTTTAATTGGCTTACAGTTCTGCAAGCTGTACAAGCATGGTACTGGCATCTGCTTGGCTTCTGAGGAGGCCTCAGGAAGGTTTTACTCATGGTGGAAGGCACAGAGGGAGCAGATGTGTCACATTGTGAAAGCAGGAGCAAGAGAGACAGTGTCGGGGGAGATGCCACAAACTTTTAAATGACCAGATTTCTCGAGAACTCACTCACTATCATGAGGACAGCACCAACAGGATGGTGCTAAACCACTCATGAGAATTCCACCCCCACGATCCAGTCAGCTCCTACCGTGTCCCGTCATCAACATGGGGCATTACAATTCAACATGAGATTCGGCAGGGACATATATTCAAACCCTATCAGATTGTTTCCATTTTGTGGCTATTATGTGTAATACTGCTATGAACAGTCACGTATAAGATTTTTTTGGGAACGTATGTTTTCACTTCTCTAAGGCATATACCTAGGTGGAATTGTTAGGTCAAATAGAAACTCAAATATGTTTAACTTTTTGAAGAACTACCTACCACGCTGTTCTCCACAATGGTTGCATTATTTCATATCTCTACCAGCAACGTATGAAGCTTCCAATTTCTCTGTATCCTTACTAAAATTTGTTATTGCTTTTTTTTTTTTTTTTTTTAGTCAGCATTTTTAAAGATTATTTCTGAAACAATAAAAACTCACTTCTTGTGCATTTATTTATATTTTTTTGAGACGAAGTTTTGCTTTTTTCAGTCAGGCTGGAGCGCAATGACACGGTCATGGCTCACTGAAGCCTCGACCCCCTAGGCTCGAATGATCCTCCCACCTCAGCCTCTCAAGTAGCTAGGACTACAGACACACATCATCACACCCATCTAATTTTTAAATTTTTTGTAGACGCCAGGTGTGGTGGCTTATGCCTGTAATCTCAGCACATTGGGAGACCAAAGCAGGTGGATCAATTGAGGTTGGGTGTTCAAGACCAACCTGGCCAACATGGTGAAACCCCATCTCTACTAAAAATACAAAAATTAGCCAGGTGTGGTAGCATGTGCCTGTAATCCCAGCTACTCAAGAAGCTGAGGCAAGAGAATTGCTTGAGCCCAGGAGGGGGAGGTTGCAGTGAGCTGAGATGCTGCCACTGTACTCCAGCCTGAGTGAAAGAGCTAGACTTTGTCTCAAAATAAATAAATTAGTTAATTAAATAAATAGCATTTTGGAGAGACAAGATCTCCTTATGTTGTCCAGGCTGGTCTTGAACTCCCAGGATCAAGCAATCCTCCTGCCTTAGCTTCCCAAAGTGCTGGGATTACAGGCATGAGCCACTGTGCCTGGTCATTATTATCTTTTTGATTATAGCCATGATAGTCAATGTGAAGGGGTACCCCATTATGGCTTTCTTAATAGCTAATGATCTTGAGCATCTTTTCAACTGTTTGCTGGTCATTGGTAGATCTTTTTTCTTTTTTTTTTTTTTGAGACGGAGTTTTGCTGTTGTTGCCCTGGCTGCAGTGCAATGATGTGATCTCAGCTCACTGCAACCTCTGCCTCCCAGGTTCAGCAATTCTCCTGTGTCAGCCTACCGAGTAACTGGAATTACAGGCATGTGTCACCATGCCCAGCTAACTTTTTGTATTTTTAGTAGAGACAGTGTTGCTCCATGTTGGGCAGGCTGGTCTTGAACTCCCGACCTCAGGTGATCCACCTGCCTTGGCCTCCCAGAGTGCTGGGATTACAGGCGTGAGCCACCATGCCCAGCTTGGTCGTTGGTAGATCTCCTTAGGCGCACTATCTATTCAGATCCTTTACCCATTTTTGAATTGGGTTTTCATTTTATGATTGAGCTGTAATAGTTCTTTACATATTCTAGATACAATTCTGTATTCATTTGGTCAGGCTGCCATAACAAAATACCACATAGCTCAAACATAAGAAATTTATTTTATCACAGCACAGCTTTGGAGTCTGGAAGTCCAAGATCAAGGTGCCAGCGGGGTTGGTTTCTGGTGAGGCTTCTCTCTTTGGTTTGTAGACAGTTACCTCCTTTTTCCTCTGTGCTTGAGCACCCCTGGTGTCGCTTTATCTTCTTTTTTCTTTTTCTTTTTTTTTTTTTTTTTAAGAGGGGGTTTCACTCTTGTTGCCCAGGCTGGAGTGCAGTGGCACCATCTCAGCTCACTGCAACCTCTGCCTCCCTGGTTCAAGCAATTATCCTGCCCCAACCTCCCGAGTAGCTGGGATTATAGGTGCATGCCACCATGCCATGCTAATTTTGTATTTTTAGTAGAGATGGGATTTCACCATGTTGGTCAGGCTGGTCTCAAACTCCTGACCTCAATCGTCTTGAACTCCTGACCTCAAGTAATCCACCCGCCTCAGCCTCCCAAAGTGCTGGGACTATAGGCATGAGCCACTGTACCCAGCCTCTTCCTCTTCTTATAAGCACACCAGTCCTACTCAATTAGGACCCAATACTTATGTCATTTAATATGAATTACCTTGTTAAAGGCCTTAACTACAAATATCACATTAGGGGTGAGAGCTTCAATTTATGAATTTGTGGAGAGCACAGTTACATTCATAACAAAATCCCTTATGGGATATAGGATTTTGAAAAACTGTTTCTCATGTGGATTTTCTTTTCACTTTCTTGATGGTATCCTTTGAAGCACAAATGTTTTTAATTTTTATGATGTTCAGTTTACCTATATTTTCTTTTTTTGTTGTTTGTACTTTTTGTACCATATGTAAGAAACCTAAGGTTAAGGAAGACGTACACTTATGTATGCTTCTTCTAAGAATTTATAGTTTTAACTTTTAAATTTATGCTTTTTCTTTTTCTTTCTTTCTTTTTTTTTTTTTAAGACAGGGTTTCACCATATTTATCAGGCTGGTCTTGAACTCCTGACCTCAGGTGATCCACCCGCCTTGGCCTCCAAAGTGCTTGGATTACAGGTGTGAGAAATTTATGCTTTTTCTATACATTTTGAGTTAATTTTTCATGTGGTTGAGGTAGGGTTCAGCTTCATTCTTTTACATTTAAATATCCAATTGTACCAGAACCAATGGGACATGTTAAAAAGCTCATTATTTCCCCATTAAATTGTCTTGGGACATTTGCTGAAAATCAATTGACTATAATGTAAACGTTTATTTCTGGACTTTCAAGTCTACTCCATTGATCTATATG